TGTCAATCAACAAGTGGAGTCCTAAGCCACCTTATCCCCAGGGCCTGCTGGAAAAGCTAGGTCTTTTAAGGCTTTCTGAAAAGACAATCTCAAATCTATTTGGACTTCAAGGGGAATGGAGTTCCAGAAGACAAAGATGACTATGAAGGAAGTCCAACTTGGACTCTCTGCTTTACTGATGAGTTCTGGAAAATAATGATGGTTCTGGCCAGATGTTATTGACTGGACAAAAGCCATCTACATGTCTCCCATGATTTCAATATCACTATTGTCTTCTCACACCAAGTTCTTTGACAGTATTGGACTTCAGCACTAAGGAATTTAATGATGCTGCCTGCTCAGAAGTGCTTATTTGCACTAAACTATAACATGGGTTGCTTTGTTTCTGATAACTATTGTAAATGGGCCACTACAAATCAACTATAGATTATTCAGCTGAGTGTGAATTGAGTTTGAAGCTGAGACGATACTTCCTACTAAGCTATGATATGGTCTCCTGGTTTTTATTTTGATGGGTCATGAACTCAACTGCTGCTCTGTAAATCATGATTTTTGGATAAAGTGATAGGCATGAACTTGGGATATGATGGTTTACATTAAATCATGGTTTAGCACAATATGCAAATCCACAAATCTCTTTTCTTCCTCAGTACCTGAGTGTTTCCACCGCTGACGTACAACACTGTTGGGTTCTTCGCACCAGTCACAAGCCGCCCCATCTCAATGTGTCCGACACAATGATTCACTCCAAGAAGCGGCTTCCTCCACAACTGGGCCACTGTCCTGGCCACAACAGCCACAGTCACTAGGGGAGCACCCATTCCTGGACCTGAAAGATGGGAAAATATGTATTAAGTCCAATGTAGCATTGACATACAGCTCTCAAATTTTATTTTGCATTCATTTAATTGTTTTGGTAGGCCTTACAGACTACAGTTACTCTTCGACCTACGACCACAATTGAGCCCAAAATTTATGTTGCTAAGTGAGAAATTTGTCAAGTTTTTGCCCTATTTTATGACCTTTTTTGCCACACTTGCTAAGTGAATCACTGCAGTTGTTAAATTAGTAACACCATTATTAAATGGCTTCCCCATTGACTTTGCTTGTCAGAAGGTCAAAAGATGAATCACATGAACCCTGGACACTGTAATCGTCAAAGATATAAACCAACTGTCAAGCATACAAATGTAAATCACGTGACTATGCAGTTGCTGAAACGGTCATAAGTGTGAAAAAAGGCCATAAGTCACTTTTGTACACAGTGCTGTTATAACTTTGAACAGTCACTGAATGAACTGTTGTAAGGAGAGGACTACCTGAATTATAGACCATTCACTGATTTTATTCTACCAATCTGGGACATTTAAAACATGCCTGGATTAAGAAGATTGTCTAGGAGTAGAGAACTTGGTGGTCCTTTAGAGGTTCTTCAGATGTTGCTGAAATATACAGTTCTTTACAAGTCCAGCCAGCGTGGCCAACAAGAAGGTTACCAGAAGATGAAGTATAGCTATAGGTTCTTCAAGGACACTTAATCAAATTAATTAAAGCAGTGGTCGCCAACCAGTGGGCCGGGGACCACTGGTGGGCCATGAGAAAATTTTGGTGGTTCTCAGAGAAATGTCCCCCCCAAAGCACTCCCGCCCCAAGCAATTAATCCAGGCTGCACGGGAACACAAGGCTGCGCTGCCCACATGGCCCGCCCACCCGCTGGCCCCCATCCTTCGACCAAGCGCAAACCTTACTTTGAGTAGAGCCACCCGAGCTGGAACTGGAAGGTAAGGCCAACAGCGGCGGAGGGAAATCTGCCCCAGGGTGGCTTGCTGATGTTAGTGGGAAAGTCGGTCCCATATTCCCGAGCTGCAGTAGTCACAGGACTGACCCTTTGGTCATCCTGGATTAGCTTCTTCAGTCCATGGCAGGCTGGTGCACCCGGGTGGAGCAGCAGCTGCTCCGGGATGACCAGTCCTGTGACTACTGCAGCTCTGGAATATGGGACCAACTTTCCCACCAACGTCAGCAAGCCACCGTCAGTCGAAATTCATATTAGTGGGATTTAAAATTATGAGTTTGGTGGTGCCTGAGGTCCAAAATGTTGGCAACCCCTGCCTTAAAGCATGGGTCTCCAACTGTGGTGACTATAAGACTTATGGACTTCAACTCCCATGCTGGCTGAGTAATTTTGGGAGTTGAAGTCCACAAAGTCTCCAAGGTTGCATACCCTCCCTGCCTTAAAGAATCCATGTGTCTCTGTCCCTTTAAGAAAAGAGGTTCACCTTTGGTGAAAGCCACTGCGTCAATGTCCTCAGGTTTCAACCCAGCCTCTTCCAGGGCCTCACGCAACACAGTAAGGATGCAAGAACGGTGGTGGCGTGCTGTGTCACCTGGAAGGAAACCTAAGAGTGGGACCAAAAATGGGGAAAAGTCATGTCACCATGGGAACCCATTAATTAATCTGCTCTCCCACCTCTTTAAATCTAGGAAAAATGCTGAATTCTTTTAGCAAGCAATTCTCTTATAGGCCTTGTAGGCTGGTGTCCTCCAATGACTTCAACTCCCAGGATCCCTTCCTAGCACACACCCTGGCTAGGAATTCTGGGAGTTGAAGTGCTACTAGAAAGCACCTAGCTGGGTTCTGAAGAGCATTCATGGGAAATATAATAGTAATACTGTCCCTGTTCTACTTTCCTACTTTGTACTCATTTATTATGTATATGCTTATACCTGTTTACACTTATATGTTTATATGTTATGTTCATACTTATACTTGTTTTCTCATACATGCTTGACAAACTAAAATAAATAAAAATAAAATAAATAACACAAAATACCTACCTTGTCCCGGAGGGGTTACATAGGTCCTTCGTGGATTGCTCAGCACTTCCCCATCCTTTACAATCCCAATTCCGATCTTGTTGGCGCTGCCCTCAAAGCCGATCACTACGGGCATCTCTCCCTGGAACACCCAAAAGAGAGTGAAATTTGGTTTCTTCCAACAGAAACCTCGGAATCTGCAGCGGATCCCGGATCCAGCTGATTTATCCACAGAACGGGTAGCAACTTATCTAAACAAGGAGAAGAAGATTCGTGAGAACGAGTCCTTTGACAACTTACCTCCGGTTCTTTCCTCTGCTGCCAGGTCCACCTTCCCCACGCTGCTCAGCGCAAGCAGTACACAGGAAAACACACGTGCAACCAAAGTATCTTGGAAGGAAAACCCAGCAGCAAAGGGTTAAATTTGAGCCCTCTCCCTCCCTCTTCTTAAGGGAGTAGTAGGGGTAGTAAAAGAAACTCTGGTGCGTCATACAGCATACACGAGCGGTGAGTATTCGAAAGCGGGCGGGTTCTTTGGTGCTTTCTGAACTTGGTTAATTTCTTGTAGAATGTAGACGTTTCATTACCCAATTACTTACTACTACTACCGGTAGTAAGAAGTGAGGTTTGCTCTCAATTTATATTCTAGTGACTCGCCTTGCCAGCAGAATAGTGAACCTCACTCCTTAGAGCTGATGCTGTTGCCTAATTAAGTCATGAAACGCCTTCAAGAATACAAGCTAGAATTGTTATTACCAAGGACCCAAAGCTCAAAAAACACATTTAAAACTTGAATTACAAATATTCTTTATTTCCTATGGAAGCTCTCAGTTTTCCAAATCATGGTTGTCCCAAAGGTGTTTTTTTTTACCCCAAGAGGCAACTGGACTTTCTTGGTTTTTGCTTGAGGACGTTTTCTCATTCGAGAAGCTTCCTCGCTTCTGAACGAAGGCGGGGGTGGGGGGGAGAGAATGGAAGGATTTAAATGGAAGGAAGCAAAAACCAAGGAAGTTCGGTCGCCTTTGGGATTCTATTGATATAGAAGGTTTCCAACCTCAGTATTTGTCTTTTATAGAGAAAAAAAGATTTATTAAATATCCGTTTTTAGGATTTTCAAATTTCCCCTCTGGATTGTTCGACTGGGAACCGCAGGTGTTGGTGCTATGGGATTTGCAGACAATGTTCCGGGAGTGGTCCGGAGGACGCGTGACGTCACCAGGTCGTTAAACCCCGCCTCCTCCTCGACCGACGTGGAGGGCGTCTTTCTTTCCAAGTTATCCCTTTAACCCCTTCCTCACTGAACCGAACCCTGTCGGCCTCTGCGGCTGCGCTTCCCGTCGCTTGAATAAGAAGCCCCGCCTCATCCTCTGTCACGTGACCCGCTCCGCTCCACGTGCTCTTCTTTCTCTAGATTCAAGGATTGTTGCGGATTCTCTCCTGAGCGATTTCGGTGCTTTGAAAGGGAAACCTCGCGTCCGGTGTGGTGAGAATCGAACGTTGCTTAAAAAATAGTCATTTTAAAAAAATAAGTTTTTTTTTCCTAATTGTGTTTCATCCGCCAAACGAGCCCGGGGTCCCGGCCTTCCCTTTTTTTCATTTTTTTAAAAAATAAAAAATATTTTCTCTGCTTTTAGGAGCGGAGTGGCAGGTAGAAATTCAACAGGTGTAACTTCCAAAGGATATCTGCATCCTCTTGCCGGGGTGGATTCGAAAACGATGCCCCTGATCAAGTTATGAATGCAAAGCGACCCATGTTCCCCAGCCACCGATCCTTTATGGAGGGATTGCTTTTGATATTGCCAAAAACTATTGAGACCAATTAAAAGAGGTTCAATTAATAGGAATAGAGTTGGAAGGTCGTCTAGTAGTCCAGCCCCCTGTTCTAGCAGGAGACCCTAGCGGCTGTCCAGTCTCTTAAAAACCTCCACAACTTCTGGTGGCAAACTGTTCTGCTCGTTAATTGTCCTCACTGTTGGGAAGTTTCTCAATTCTCAGAGCCAATTTGTTCTTCTAAGAACAGACGTTTTCATGTCGAAGGGATTCTTTGCAAATGGATAGAATCCGGTGACCAACTAATCATTTTTATGGGGTCAGGGTTGCTGATGGAAGAGAGGAGCAGTTGGTGCATTTGGAGGAAGAGGAAAGGGGGCTCACTGGATATTCTGAGGGAAAAGAAAGCCAGGTTTGGGTGTTAAGTAGGGGCACAGAATGCAGTATTGCAGGCTAACTCTCCCACTGCCAAGAGTTTGATCCTGGACGGCTGAAAGTGGACCCAGCCTTCCATCCTTCCGAGGTCAGTAAAATGAGGACCCAGACTGTTGGGGGAGATGGGTTGACTCTGTAAACCACTTAGAGAGTGCTGTAATACACTATGAAGCTGTATATAAGGTAAGTGCTATCTTCAAAGTTCTGGGTTTTGTGATTGTGATTTAGGTGCTTGGTAACTGGCTTGTACTTACAACAGTTCCAGTGTTCTGTGATCACTTGATTGCCATTTGTCACTTTCTAACACAAGGGTCTTCAAATTTGGCAAGTTTAAGACTTGTGGATTTCAACTCGCAGAATTCCTGAGCTAATATGCTTGAAGGAGGAATTCTGGGAGTTGAAGTCCACAAGTCTTAAAACTATCAAGTTTGAAGACCCCTAGTCTTCCCACAAACAAAGTCAACGAGGAAACTAGCAGGGAAGGATGCAAATTGCTCCCATAAGTCACCCCTGCTCCTGTTAAGCATTATAGGGAGGTGTATAGGTGCTATTGCTATCTCTACATGGTAATGTTCATGTTTCCCAGGAGACGCTACTGTTGAGAAGCCTAACATTGGCCAAACAAGGTATCCAGCTTCTTCGTCTGAGACATCTTTGGGAGCCTACAATGTCAAAACGAGAGAATAAAGAAGAAGAGGTCCTTCCAACAACGAAAGAGGTGGAAGGTATGGAATTCAGCCCTAGCATTAAAACTGGGGTTGGCAATGGCGGTTCTCCTCTGCCTTATAGCATGTCATCCTTTGGACCCTGGATCCTTCTTGATGCTTTTTGACCTTCCCAAGTCCCATTCTTTGTTGAATGGCCTCTCGTTTCCTTCAGCACTTTTCCTCGACCCATAGATTGGAATTTGCCAGGCTTGGCTCCAGTGAAACCAGAGATTTTGGCCTCTCTATAATGAACCTTCATAACTTATATCTTCTGTCTGATGCTTGGAATGGAGGAAGGGAGAGAATAAAATGGAAGGAACCTCTGGTGAATCAAGAAAGTTGTGACATTTGGTCCTCTTGAAATTCAATTAATGAGACCTCTTTTTCTGCCTCTTCCTCTCTCTTTCCAAAGAATTCTGCGTAGAATAATTCTGCTTTCTCAATTGAATCAATTCTATGTCTCTGTTCTTGCCATGTAAACATTAATCCTTCTGGAATTAACCATCTGTAGTTCACCTCTTTTTTCAGTAACATTTTAGTTAAAAATCGGTATTCTTATCTCTCTCACTTTTCTGGGTATTTGTTTTAAAACCACAATCTCCTTGCCCTTATATTTCAGCATTTTCTCTCTTGCCACTTGCAATATTTGTGTTTTAATGGCTTTTTTTGTAAATCTGATATGAACTTCTCTTGGTAGGTTATTTCTCAATGCATATCTTGTAAAAACTCGATATACTTCATCTACTCCATCCATCATCTTTTCTTCTGTTATTTCCAAAGCTTCAGCCAATATTTCTATCATTATCTCAGCTAGATTTTGTCCTTTTTCTTCCTCTGTTTTGAAATCTGAGATAAAATTCTGATCTGTCCATCTCTTATTTCAGCATCCCACTTTTATCTTGTTCAACCACTGTTAATCTGGTATCAATGTCTCCAATCTTTTTGTCTCTTTGTTTATCTTCTTCAATTTTTTGGAATCTCTCATCATACTTCACCATCATTTGTTGAATATTCTCCACTTTTTCATCAGTTTTCTCTGTTCTTTGTTCAATATTCTCTATTCTCTTTTCAATAGTGTCTGATTTTGTTTTAAGTTCTTGGATTCCTTGCATGATCATCTGTAAGGTCACTTTTTCTTGTTCTTTGTCTTGCTTCAACATTGTCTGGATTGAACGTTGTCCTCCAGGTGGGGAGGCGGAAGTAGAAGTTGAGGGGCCAGAAGCTATAAATTTCCTGCTCATTTTAAACAATTGAAGATCTTCAGATTCTTCTGAACCTTAATCCAGTTATGAAGTAGCCAATTATAATCCAAGATAAAAAAATAAAAATGGTGGAGAAAAAATTTCTTCAGGTTCTTCTGAACCTTTATCCAATTGTGAAGTAGCCAATTATAATCCAAGATAAAGAATAAAAATGGTAGAAGGAAAAAAGGCCAGTAATAATAAAAAAAAAGAGAGAGAAAATTTCTTCAGGTTCTTCTAAGCCTTAATCCGATCAATAATTAAGTGAAAAGGAAAGGAAGAAACATTTAAAAAAAAAAAAAAGAACAAAAAAAGGAGGAAAAAAAATTCTTCAGGTTCTTCACCACCTTAATCCAATTAAAAGGTCTCAAAAATAGAAGAATAAAAACATAAAAATGAACCAAAAGTATGGATGGAAAAAGCAAAAAATCCCAGAGACGAAGGGTGAAGAAAAGAAAAAGAAAATTTTTGAGGCTTTCCCTTTAAAATAAAAAGCAAAAATAGAAATATTACAAAAATAAAGGCTTTTTTTTTTTAAAAAAAAGAAGTACAGTAAAGCTGGTAAGGAGGCGTAGCACAACTTAAAAAAAATAAAAAGAACACACTGCACTTTATTTAATCATCCAAGGCTCTTATTATAACTCTCTTCTCCACAAACTTCAAAACCAAGCTTGTTGATAGAAATCCAGAAGAACACCTGGAATAACACTCTCCCGTGCTCTTCCCTCTATCTTATCATGTTGCAATGTCCTTGAAAGGGAGTCTCTGATCTTTCTTTCTCAGCTTTCTCAGCTTCGTCTAAGATATTTTCAAGCCTCTAGTTGGCAGTGTTACAAAGTTTCTTTACTGTCACTTTCCCCCTCCTTTCCCAGGCAAAACGTAATAGAAGTTAAAAAAAGAAAAGAAAAAGTATATATATAAAAAAAGAAAAGTAACTAAAGGGAGCCTCTAACCTAAAATGTTGCAAAGTCAAAAAAGAGAAGAAAAAATAGATGTAAATAAGAAAGAAGCCAGTCCAGTTAGCAAATGTTAAATCGCGATAGTAATAAAATAAAATAAAAAATAAAAAGCCAAGCCTTACTTTGATGTTTCTGTTTAAGAACTGCCGCTTATTCTGTTCTGTCAAAACTTTTACAGATTTTCCTTTTCCTTAGGGTGTCCCTTTAAGTCTTAGAGTAATGATAAAAAAAAAAAGTTCTCACCAAACCAACACACTTTCTCTTTCCAGTCTCTTCCGATCGGAGCTGTCCCAACTTCAGCAGCTTTAATGGCTGCCTCTCTGCCGCCGGCAAGAAGAGCTTCTCCTGGATCAACCAGGGACTTTGCGATGTCCCTGGGATCAGCAGGATGCGCTCTTCACTTTCACCGTCTCTTCGGGACAGTTTAGGTCCGTTGGGACCGTCCAGAGGCAAAGATATCGGCTGCAATCTCAGACCTCCGAGATTGCATGCAGTATCGTTGCAACGTCAGCTCCGCCCCCAGTAGATAACAGTCTGTTGCCCAGCAGACAACAATAAGAGCGGTTTCTCTGCTTTAAGATGTGTGGTCTTCAAGTCCCAGAATTCCCCAGCCAGCATGCAGGCAGAGAAATTCTGCAAGTTGAAATCCATACATTTTAAAGCGGTTAAGGGTGAGAAACACTGTAGTGTAGATCAAGCAGGAATGAGAGTGGGAGAACTCGTAGGTTTGGAGATAATGCATCTAGTTCTCAACTTACAACCATTTTGGTGATCGTTCAAAGTTATAACAGTACTGAAAACAGTGACTCGTTTTTACCCAAGGTTACATGATCAAAATTTGGATGCTTGGTTTGTATCGATGACAATTTCAGTGTCCCAGAGGTCATGTGATTCCTTTTTGCTACCGTCTGACAAAGTCAAATAGGGAAACCAGATTCACTTAACAACTGTGTTGCTAACTTAAGAACTGCAGTAATTTACTTAACAGCTGTGGCAGGAAAAGTTGTAAAATGGGACAACCGTCTCACTTAGCAACATAAATTTTGGGCTTAGTTGTGGTCCTAAATCGAAGACCACCCGCAAAATTCCCTCCCTTCCTAGATGTCACCACTGTCCTTTCCTAATCTTGGTTAGAATATGTCTCTCATTCTGCAAATGAACTAACCAAGTCTCTAGAAAAGCAACCAAATTTTAAAATCAATGTAACCTGAATATAGATAGTCCTTGAGTTATGAGTGCAAAATTTGAGCCCAAAATTTATGTTGCTAAGTGAGAGATTTGTTGAGTGAGATGTTTTGCCGCATTTTGCGACCTTTCTTGCCACAGTTGTTAACTGAATCATTGCCACTGTTCAGTTAGTCACATGGTTGTTAAGTGAATCTGGCTTCCCCCATTGGCTTTGCTTGTCAGAAGGTCACAAAAGCTGACCACATGATCCCGGAACACTGCAACTGTCATAAATAGGAACCAGTGGCCCAGCATCTGAATTTTGATCATGTGACCATGGGGATGTTGCAGTGATTGTAAGTGTGAAAAAATGTCATAAGTCACTTTTTTCCGGTGCTGCTGCAACTTTGAACAGTCACTAAATAAATTGTTGTAAGTCGAGGACGCTCTGTTTCTAGTGGAGTCCAATTTTCATCAAACAAGCAAACACCTGTTCTTCCTCCCTATAATGTTGTGTTTTATTTCTTTTCCCTCAGAGCCAGAATCTAAAAAAACCAAGAAAGATGGAGAAAAGCCAGAGAAAGAGGCTGATGTTCCAATTCTGTACCAAGATCCCCCTGATAAGCTCACCTCATCCAGTGGCAAAAAATATACTTTGAAGGTCACTTCCTGGAATGTAGATGGCATCCGAGCCTGGTTCAAGAAGAAGGGCCTGGAGGTAACCCAGGAGAAAACTCCACCTTTTTGTTTTCTTATAGCTGGTTCTTTCCACTTTGGGTGTGATGGCAGTGATTTTTCCTCTACCCTTCCTCAAAGTGAAAGTCATAAAAAGAAAGGCTGCATTTAGACATCACATATCAGTTAAGATGATCTTTATCGTCATTTTTCCTTGTGCACAAAGGCACACATTAAAACGAAATTCCAATGCCCACTCTAGAAGAAGAGGGGAGGAAAACAGCACCCACCAAACACTGTCACCATCCCCAGGAAAATAAATTGGGAGGGGGAATTGTAAAAATTCAGTATAACTGAGATTGACTCTTAATGAAGCATGTCATGTAATTTTACAGATGGTCCTCATGTAATAACGCAAATTAGGGCTAGAAACT